TATCTGGTGATTATCATTGGGAGGAGGGAGGCGCGAGCGGGAGGAAAAAGGAGGAGGAGGAGTGGGAGGCGTCAGAGTAATAACAAGAACCCCAATCCTTAGGATATGGGGAATAAGAGTAGTAGTAGTAGTAGTAGTAGTAGTAGTAGTAGTAGTAGCCGGCGTAGTAATAGTCGAAGTGGTAGTAGTAGTAGTAGTAGTAGTCGCAATAGTAGTCGTAGTAGTAGTCGTAGTCGTAGTAGTAGTAGTCGTAGTAGTAGCAGCAGCAGCAGTAGTAGTAGTAGTAGTAGTCGTGTAGTAGTAGTAGTAGTAGTAGTAGTAGTAGTAGTAGTAGTAGTAGTAGTAGTAGACGTAGTAGCAGTAGTAGTAGTAGTAGTAGTAGTAGTAGTAGTAGTAGCAGTATCAGTAGTAGTAGCAGAAGTAGTAGTAGTAGTCGTAGTAGTAGTAGTGGTGATAGTAGTAGTAATAGTAGTAGTAGTAGTAGTAGTAGTAGTAGTAGTAGTAGTAGTAGTAGTAGTAGTCGTAGTAGTCGTAGTAGTCGTAGTCGTAGTCGTAGTAGTAGTAGTAGTAGTAGTAGTAATAGTAGTAGTAGTAGTAGTAGGGGTAGGAGTAGCAGTAGTAGTAGTAGTAGTAGTGGTAGCTGGGATGGAAAATAGTGGTCGTAGTAGTGGTAGGAATAGAAGCAGTAGGCGATATAGTCGTAGCAGTACAGCATCTGTGGAATAGTAGTAGCACTAGTACTAGTAGTAGTCGTAATAGTAGTAGTAGCAGTCGTAGTAGTAGTAGTCGTCGTCGTTGTAGTGGTAGTAGCCGTACGAACCGCAATTATCTTAGTAGCAGTAGCAAAAATTAGTAATAGTAGTAAGAGTAAGAGTAGTAGTAGTCGTAGTAATAGTCGTAGCGAAAGTGGTATTCGGTAGTAGTAACAAACGGCAACAATATAACTGATACCGATACTCACACCAATGCATCAACACGAAACATAACACCGAACGTATATGAAACGTACGTCAAGGGGATACGCAAAGTATACGAAACAGATGCGAACCACATACGAAGCATCTATGATATACCAATGTCTGTTTGGGCCATGACGCCGCGATCAGCGTGAAAGGGCGCAACATATTTGCAGAATTCGGAAGAGGTCCCTAGAGAAAACGCCAGACACATCGCGAACGGGACCTTCCATACGCAACGTCAACATCAACAACAACAACAGCAATATCATCATCATCGCCGTCATCATCACTACCATCACCACCATCAGCATCATCATCGTCATCATCACCAACACCATCATCAGCATCATCATCATCCTCGTCATCATCATCATCAGCATCGGCACCGTCCTCGTCGACATCATCATCATCATCGTCATCAGCATCATCATCATCAGTATCGACATCACGTTCCTTTCTAAGCCCGCCTCAATCCTCCTCCTCTATAGTTGTTGTAACCGTCGGCGCCATCATCATCATCATCAACAGCAGCATCGTCAGCATCATGACAATCGTCATCATCACATCATCATGAGCATCACGCCCACCGCCATCATCCTCCTCATCATCATCGTCATCATCATCGTCATCATCGTCATCGTCACCATCATCATCATCATCATCAGAATTACCACCCTCATCCTCATCATGCTTACGCAGAACGAAAGATTTTCCTCTTGAGGCGAAAATGGCCATGAGGAGTTCGCGAGACAACGTCGGCGCCGCCGAACGGACGGCGACCGGACGTGCTGTTTGCAGCAACCGGGGGAGGAGGGATGTATGTATTCATGTTGAATGGGGCCCGCACGCGCGGGGAGTTGATGGGAGTGCGCGAGACGACGCGGGGCCCATCGTGGAAAGTTGATTACCGAACCCCCTTCCCCCAAAGAATCTTAACACGGGCGCTTTGCGGGGTCCGCGGATCCGATTTCTTCCGGCCCCCTGGTTTAATTTAATACTATAACTTTAAAACAGGGTATAAATCGGATCCGCCGAAAAAAAAGACCAGACACGGATCCAGCTAATCCGAAATCGGATCCGTGCGGACGGAAATCGGATCCACCGAAACAAACACCAAACCACAATTTGTTCCGCGCGAGTTTCATGAGATCCGACGGCGGTTACCTCATACGGGTCTGCTCAAGACTTCATACCGTCGTTCTGGGCCCAAGGGGACAAAACTTGCGTCCTGGGGATGAACGGTTTGGCCTTCGGACTCGTTGGTTCCCACATAGCCCACACACCACATCTCACACGCAATCCGATGCTGATTACCGCACAGCTGACACCACATCTCACATGCAGTCCGTTGGGTGAGGAGACGCAGGGCCGAAACGCACTTACGCAGGACGAAAGATTTTCCTCTTGAGGCGAAAACGGCCATGAGGAGTTCGCGAGACAACGTCGGCGCCGCCGAACGGACGGCGACCGGACGAGCTGTTTGCAGCAACCGGGGGAGGAGGGATGTATGTATTCATGTTGAATGGGGCCCGCTCGCGCGGGGAGTTGATGGGAGTGCGCGAGACGACGCGGGGCCCATCGTGGAAAGTTGATTACCGAACCCCCTTCCCCCAAAGAATCTTAACACGGGCGCTTTGCGGGGTCCGCGGATCCGATTTCTTCCGGCCCCCTGGTTTAATTTAATACTATAACTTTAAAACAGGGTATAAATCGGATCCGCCGAAAAAAAAGACCAGACACGGATCCAGCTAATCCGAAATCGGATCCGTGCGGACGGAAATCGGATCCACCGAAACAAACACCAAAACCACATTTGGATCCGCGCGAGTTTCATGAGATCCGACGGCGGTTATCTCATACGGGTCTGCTCAAGACTTCATACCGTCGTTCTGGGCCCAAGAGGAAAAAACTTTCGCCCTGGGGATGTAATCGCCGCCGTCATCAACATAATGTTCCTCATCCCTCCACGTCCACCCAAATCATCCTTCACCTTCTCCCCTCCTCCTCCTCCTCCTCAGCTCCTCCTTCTCCTCCTCATCTTCCTCCCCCTATCCTCATCCCGCTGATCCTCGTCCCCTCCCCGCTCATCCCTGGCCTGCACTATCTAAATGCGTATCGCACCTGTGTCTCAAAGGCTTGAAATCGTGCCGTGTCCGTGTCTCTAAGGTGTGAGTGCGTGTCGTGCCTGTGTCTCTAAGCTTTAAGTATGTGTCGTGTATGTGTCGCCCAGATTTAAGTGCGTTTCGCATGTGTGTTTCTAAGTTTTAAGTCGTGTCATGTCTCTGCTTCTAAGGCGTAAGTGCGTGTCGTCTCTGTGGCTCTAAGGCTTAAGGTAGTTTTGTGTTTGTGCCTCTAAGGTTTAAGTGCGTGTCGTGTATGTCTCTACGGCTGAAGTTGAAGTGGGCCACAAAAAGCTCCACCGTGGCCACCAGGGCAACCAAGCCACAGAACGCCCCAACGGGGCCACAGGAAGCCCCAACGGGCCACGGAAAGCCCAAACGGGCCACAGAAATGCGTTGTCTGCCCCAGCAATCTCCCCCAAAGCCCCAATAACTGCCCCCGGAAGCGCTCTGAAGAGACCCCGACAAGCTCCACACCTTTCTCCTCCTGTTCCTCCGCCTCGTCTTCATCGTTCTCCACCTGCTCATTGCCTCCTCGACCTCCTCCTGTCCCAACTCCCCCTCATCATTATCCTCCGCATGCTCCTCCTCCCCCTCCCCCTCCTGTTCCACCGCGGATTCCTCCTTATCCTGCTCCTCCTCCTCCTCTTCCTCCTCCTCCTTCTCCTCCTCCTCTTCTTGCTCCTGCTCTTCCTCCTCGTACTCCTCCTCACCCTTTCCCTCCTCCTCATCCCCCTCCCTCGCATCCTCCTCCTCATCATCATCCTCATCCTCCTGATCATCCTCCTCATCATGCCCCCCCCTCCCCCGCGGGCTCTTCCCCCTGTGCTCCGCAACCTGATCTCGGCATCTTCCTCCACATACTCCTCCTCTTGGGACGCCCGAAATGGGTACGGAACAAATGGGTACAATGCCCAACATCAAATGTTGTCCAAAACCAACAGCGGCCGCTGTTGGGAAGGCGGCCCTGTTTCAAATAGGCACAGGCCGCGGCGGCGCGGACAGCGAGCCCTGTTCAAAATGAACAGGAACTGCTGTTGGGCATTGTACCCATTCTTTCCGTACCCATTTCGTTCGTGCTCCTCCTGCCCCTCCTTCTCCCTTTCCTCCGGCTCCTCTTTCTGCTCCTGTTCCTCCGACTCCCATTCTCCTCGTCCTCCTCCTGCTTATTCTCCCCCCGTCCTCCTCCTCCTCCTCCGCGTCCTACGCCTCCTCCTCCTCCGCGTCCTACGCATCCTCCTCATCATCATCCTCCTCCTCCCTTCTCCTCGTCGTCCTCGTCGTCGTTCTAACGGTCGGCGGCACTGGTGGTGAGGCCTTCACAATATCTTTCATGGATTGGGGATTGGCTGGTGGGAGACGGGAGGCATCAAAATTCATGAGATCGACAAGCTCACTGAAGGTAGAACGGATCGCACATCTCTGCAGGTGACGCTCCCGTTCGGATCACCAAGATGAGTAGAGAACGTGTTTTGAGGGATGTCATAAAAGTGTTCGTCTTGGACCTCGCCGGCCGGCTATGGCATGAAGTCCAGAGCGTTCTGCCCTACCGCGCGATCAAGTGAAAGTCATCCATGCTCCACTCCCAGCTTGTGCAAGCCCACACCCGAAGCTGATGGGGGAAGCGTGCAGACACGTGACGTGCTGAGGTGCTACAACTCACCCAATTGTCAGTCTGCCTGCTCGGCTGCCTGGGCCGTGTTGGAATGCACGTAGAAGTCGGGCCGCCATGGCTTTGTACCGCTCCAGGTTCGAGCTCACACGCACTCCACGGCGAACCCTTACTGAAGCAGTGCGAACGCGCGTCGAGCACCTCGAAGTGGCCAGATGCAGTGGCGACGCACCTCTCACCTTCCAGCAGAAGAGCCTCAAGCCTGGGTTCCGACAGGAAAAACTCCAATCACGGATTACGTCCAGGCGTTCACGCGTACGGGGATTGCACCGAAGGCTCTTCAGGAGCGAGGAAGGGAAGCCAAGGTGCCACAGCAGACAGCAGAATGTCCCATGAAGGAATCGAGAACGCATCCGTCTCGGAGTCCACCAAACCGTCGCCATTGACCGTGAAGGTGCTGATGACGATGTAGGGCTTGATGCGCAGCCCAGGGACGGGGACGTTTGCCGTGCCCTCTATGCGCCATTTGATCACGAAGGTACTCGGACCTGTCACGAGCACCTCCGTGACGTCGGCTCTGCAGTTTGACAGCACCGTACCCGTACCACTCGCGTACTCCTTTAGATGCCTCCCAGATGGGGCCAGAAGAGATGGAGCTGGAGGATTCAGATGCATCGCCGATGCATCACCGATACATCGGCCACGTCGGCGTGGCGAAAGTCAAACTCCGCGTCCAGCCGCATTGCCGATACATCGGCGATGCGGCGCGATCCCCCGACCCAGCCACTCTGCCCCCGTCTGGGAGCCCTGGGTCCTTGAGGCCCTTCGTGGAGACGTCCGGGTCCCGGAAGGCGAAGCTGTCCGCGAAGAACCTGGGCTCGACCTTGCCGCTGACGCCCCACTGCGAGCGCTGGAAGGCCCTCGCGAACTCGTCCGCGAGCGGGGCCATCGCTGTCTTCGGGCGCTTCGGCTCGTCCCACGCCACCGCGTCCAGAAACGCCGGCAGCGGCTTCGCCTCGGCAGCGCTGCGCGCGGCCGTGGCCGCGGCCGCCGCCGCCCCGAGGCCGACCAGCGCGGCGCGCCGCGAGGCAGCCGCCTCTCGGAGAGGTGTGGTCCTGGTCCGAGGTGCCCCTGGCGCTGCGACCACTTCTGGGCCCCCTGGGGCCCTCTTGGCCTCGCGACGGAGCGGCGCACGGGGGGCCGGCTCGAGGGGGGGAAGCCTCGACCTGGAGTCGGCGGTGCATCGCCGATGGATCGGCGGTGCGTGGGATCCAGATTGCAAAACCATGCGTTCCTGGGCGGGAGAGCCAACCCCTTCCCCGGGAGTAGCTTTTGGCCCCGGACCCGTTTTTGGTGGTCCTGGGGCTCGCCAACAGGCTCCAGAAGCAAGCATGGAGAACAAACAACGAGACGATACCGAACACATCAAATCGTCGGGACGTTCGTTCCTCCCCTGGGTCCTCCTCCCAGCCACAGCTGAGCATCGTTTAACAGATCCCTATCCCCACTGGCCTGGCCTTTGCCCCACTGGCCAGCCTGACCCGACGAAGGGGCCTTTGGGGATCGAGGCATCTCCCCCTGATCCTATCCCCCCCTGACTATCCTGTTGCCGTGGCATCTGGGGGCCTCCCTGGAAAGGCTGGGGGCACCCTGGTAGGACGAAGCCAGGACGGCGACAGCATCGGAACAGGACACGTCGGGACCTCTGAGCTCCGGCGGCTCCGGAGGATGCGCAGCGGGTCCGCACAGCAAGGACGAGGGACTTTCCCCCAGGGTGCCCTTGCATCCCTGCCTCCTCGGCCCCTCCGTGGCCACTTTCGTGGGCCGCACCCTTCCCGAAAAGCTTCCACGCGGCCTTCCAGGGCCCCGGCACCCCTATCGCGCGTCCTTGTGATACAGCAAGGGCTCCCAACTTCGCGCTTCGCGCTGCGCGAAGTGCGAATAACTTCGCGCTCTCGCGCCGCCTCCCAGGGGAGAAAGAGAGGATGAGGAGGAATCGGAGCCGACCCGCGAAGCGCGAATAACTTCGCGCCCTCGAGGGCGCCCTTGTACAGGTCGACTGCATCGGGCACCGCGGCTGGTCCAAGGCGCCCCAGCAGCGCTCTGAGAGCAGCCCTCGGGAGGAGAGGCACGGGGCGCCGCGGCCGCTCTGGAAAGCGCGCTCTCGCCTCCCGAAGAGCGCTCTGGAGCGGCCGCACCGCACCCCGGCCCTGTAGCTCGGGGGGTGTTACAAGGGTGCGCCTGCCCTTAAGTCGGGCCTGTCCTCCTACAGGGGGATTTTGGACGCAAAATAAAACAATACTTTAGAAAATGCCCCCAAATTGCCAAAAAATGCTCAACCAATAGTCACCATACTATTTTCTGATTATTTTTGAATATTCCTTCTGTAGGGGGACAGGCCCCACTTAACCCTGGCCCAAAGTGCCCCCCAGCTTCTCGCTCAATCTTGGAGCCCTCGGGGCCCTCTGGGCATCGTGAGGAGTGACCTGCTGGCTGTGGGCTCCCCCCTCTTGGACATCCCGGGGACCCCTTGGGTCAGAGACATTTCGGGCGAACCCGAATCGTTGGCGGCGCGCACAGGGGGGTATGGGGGAGGGGGGAAGGCATCTTAGAAGGAGGCTGCTTCCTAGAAGGCGCTGGCCTTACATCTACAGGCAAGGCCCACGCCTTCTCCGAATAGAGGCCTCGTGGGGTCCGAATGGATGGAATCGTAGGATCGCGCCGCGTCGCCAACGCATGGCCGATGCAGCGGCGGCGTATCGGCGACGTCGACGTGAAACAGATCGAGCCCCACATCGTGCCGCATCGGCGATGCATGGGCCATGCGGCGCGATCCTCCGACCCCATCTACTCCGACCGCGTCTGGAAGCCCCAGAAAGAAGCAGGGGTGCTTCTGCGAAGCCTTACCCCCTCCCCATACCTCCTTTGCGCTTGGACAGCCCTGGGTCGGGCATGTCCTCCTACGGGCGGAGTTTAAAAGAAAATTGTCAAATAATCAGACAGTACTCAAAACTAGTCAATCATTGCCAAATAATCGTGCAAACCTTCCAAAGAGTCAGACAACGCTCAAACATAGTCAATCACTGTCAAAACGTCGGTGCCCAGACTATTTTTGCTTGACTGGCGTTGAACACTCCTCCGGTAGAGGCACACGCCCGACTTGAAAATGATACCGGAGAAAAGCTCCAATCAGATTTTTGTTGGGGCAATGGGCCTATATGGGCTATATGGCCACAGGGGTATGGTGATGTAGGGCTGTTGGGCTATTGGGCTATAGGGGGTTAACCTCCCCGAACCCTTTAATCCGCTAGGACCCCTACAGAGGCAAGCTCTGATTGGGGAAGAAACCTTTCAAATAATCAGACAGTACTCAAACGTAGTCAGCCATTGTCAAAACATCGGTGCCCAGACTATTTTTTCTTGACTGGTTTTGAACACTCCTCCTGTAGAGGCACACACCCGACTTGAAAATGATACCGGAGAAAAAAACCCAATCAGATTTTTGTTGGGGCAATGGGGCTATATTGGGTTTATGGCTATAGGGGTATAGTGATATAGGGCTGATGGGCTATTGGGCTATAAGGGGGTTAACCTCACCTAACCCTTCAATCCGCTAGGACCCCTACAGAAGCAAGCTCTGATTGGGGAAAAATAGCCCCGCTTGGCCCGGGCCCGAGCCGCCTCTGGAAGCGCCCGCGCCTCGCCCGCCTCCGCCGCGCTGCTGGCGCGTGCGGCCCTGGCCCAAGCAGGCCTGACTGCCCACCAGACCACCCCCCACCTCACCCCGAAGACCCGAGTTTCGGGTGGGGTGGGGTGGAGAAGGAGGAGGAGGAGGAGGCGGAGGAGGAGGAGGAGGAGGAGGAGGTATGGGAGGAGGACGAGGAGGAGGAGGAGGAGGAGGAGGAGGCGGAGGACGAGCAGCCAGCAGGAGTTCTCCGAGAAACCGAAAAACCCTGGAAACATGGAACCCCTAGCCACTTAAAGCGGGAGGGGGAGGCGATGCCTCAAGATGAACGAGTTCAGGCCAGTGGGGGCAACGGGTGTGAAGAGTGCAGCCTCTCTGCCCCTCAGCTGCCCTGTAGCGTCGTTACAGCCAGAATGCACGGATGGACCGGTACACCGAAATCTGCACGGATGGACCGGTACACCGAAACCCTAAAGATTTGCATTCACAACGGGGCCCCTGTCTTGGGGTGGCGGCCACGCTGCACCATGTCGGCCTTCCGCTTTTGGTTGACCCTGGTGGCAGGATTGGAAGACGGCCCCGCACACTTCGAATTCAGATTCGAACGACCGCTCCACCCCTCCTCCCCCGACGCCGAGGCCCCACACTGGGTGCAGCAGACCATGGCACCGTGGGTGACTAAAATGTGATTTAGCTCCCTGAAGGCCTCGAGCCCATCTGGTGGCTCCCCTGGCGGCGCAGGCACGGGCCCCAGGACCTCCTCAGCTGCCGCCAGGGCCTCGGACACGCACGGACCCGTAACAGGACCCCTGAAATCGCGAACCGCCAGACCTGGCTTCGAGAAAAAGCACCTCGCGGCCCACGCTTGGGTGGGCAGAGGCTTACATTCATCATTCACAAGGTGGGCAAGGTGCCCGCTTGTGCGGGCAACGCACATACACTTGCGGCACCGGACCTCCATTGAGGGCTCGACACGAACGAGGGAGTGCGACATTAGCCTGAGAACTGGCGGCCCACCTGTACAAGGACGCCTGGGGACGGCCTCGGGCGGATCGCGCCAAAGGTCGAGCTCGACCGCTCGGCTGGCCGCCCAAGAGACATACTTCAGGATCGCCTTGGCACGCTGGAGCTCCGACGAGAGGTACTCAGCGTGCACCGACGACACAGCATGCGCTGACGCCCCGAGCTTGGCAAACCAGTCGGCCCACAGATTCCCCACCCACCACCTGAGAGGGATCTCAAGAGAGAGGGCCTCCTCGGGGCTCTTGTGGGCTGGGGTCCAGCTAAACCTAGGGGGCGCTCTGGAACCAACCGCCCCGAAAATGAGCCTCCAAATCCGAGCATGCTTGCCTCTGGAGCTCTCAAGGGCGGGGTCCCAAGACTCGCCCTCAGACACCAAACTCAACAAATCACTCACGATGTGCCGCGTGGCAGACGCGTGCTGGACAAGACGAAGCACAGCCCATCTCTCAGCTCTGCCTACTGTCTGGATGCCCGGGAGAGGGCCGTACATGGCCCGGGCAGGCAACAAGTGTTCATCAATCTGAACTGCGGACCAACCGCAGCGCGTCAACTCGGGCTGCGCCGACTCGAAGCCCGAGCCATCTGTGCACGACTCAGGGCCCCACGAAGCAGGCTCGGCGTCGCCCCAGAAGAACGTCGGGAGCGCGTTCTCCGCGGCCTTCACCGCGAACGCGTGCGGCACGCTCGGGAGGCCGTACCCGCACTCCAGGTCGTCGAAATGGCACATCGAGCCGATCTCCGCCAACATGGCTCTAGTGGCTTCGAGGGCCTCGGGCAGCGGAGGGAGGGAGCTCCCCGGCGGCACATCCAGCAGCTTCGGGCAGCCCAGCCAGATGTGCCCGTAGTTGCCGTACTCGGCGCCGCACGCACGGCAATGCAGCTTGCCATGGCCTTCCACAGCTGCCCGCCGCTCAGGAGTGAAGTAGCGGCCAGACCACAGCATCTGCAGCGCGCCCAGCTGCCTCGGCGGAAGCGAGCGCAAGCCGAGGCGAATGCCTCGGACCCACACCTGCTCGTCGCCCGAGGCCAGGTGCATGTGCCCCAGCAGCCTCTGCGCCTGCCACCGCTCGATGGACCTCATCAAATGGTGGCGAAGGTCCTCTGGCGGCACGCGCAGGAGCGAAAAGACCTCGCCCGCGTCGGACCTCACGTGGGCCGAAGAGAGCATCTCCCAACCTAGCCTCCGCAGCGACAGCCATGTGGACGTGAGCGGCCCACGCGCCGTGCCGAAGGTGGTGCCC